AGAAACAGAAGAAAGGACATAACATCTCACATAGACAACAATTCTGAAACAATGATTCACAGCTTTGTTTGATGGAAATCAATATGCATAGAATAGCAGACCGTGCAGTAAGATCAAGTGGCACTTCATCATTTATGTAAATAAATGATGGATTGTTTATTTCCTGGTTCAGTTCATATCCTGTTTCTAAAAGATGTCCCCATGTCAGTGTATAACAATTTAAAAACAAAGGAATCCTGTTAGGTCATGTTTAAGGATTATCTAGCATCCCACATACTAACCAATCAGATGCTTTCCAGAAATTCACATGGAGTACACAAATAAGCATCTTCTTCAGCAGCCAGAGTTGATTCAGAGAGATTCAGAAGCCGCCTTTAATAGGTTTAATCTAATCTTCTTGAATTTGTCTTGAGTTAAAATAGCAGAAGAAACCAATCTAGACAGGAGAAACTCATTCCTCTCAAGTCTGTGCCTGAATCCTGAACATGTGGAGCTCATCATCTTCAGAGCAGGGTACCTGCCAGATTCCACAACAAGCACAGCATGGTACTAGGCAATGTTTCTAGTCTTTTGAGAATCTCTGGCTTTCCCTTTCTTCTTCCTTCTCCTCTTCCTCCTAGTTTCTAATCTGTAAGGTCACAGTGCCTGAAAGTTAGCAGGCAAAATCTATTATAGACAGGTCATTGTCCTTGGTGACCCCCCCCTATGAATTATAGACCCAAATAAATTATGTAAAACAGCAGGTTTTGCAAATAAGGACAAAGTGAAAAATATGGACTAGGATAAAAGAGTTGGTTCCCAAGGATGTTAGTACAACCCTTGCTTTTTTCCAGTGTATCCTTGGTGTAGAAATACAGGTTGCCAATTTTTGTTTTTGTTAACATGAAATATAAATAGTTCCGGCAACTGTATGTCAGTAATTTGTATGTTGTGGTGAAGCAGAATGGTAAATGTTGCCCGCATGTGACATTTTCATATAAAAAGTGACATGAAAACTGATCTGAGTCAGAAAGGACCTGGATTGACCCATTAAATTTTTCAGTGGAATATTCAAAGGCACTTTACAATGCTGGCAATGGTCTGCTTTTTTCTACCAAATGGTGTGTCTTGTGTACTAGGGAGTATCATCCCACTGATTTCATTCCTTGTGTAGTTATATAACACTCCATAGCTATACGAGATGGAAATTAGGCAGACAGATTAGTCTACATAACAGTGCATCTGCCAAATCAATTTTACTGTGCTCCTTTTTTTCTGGCCTTAAATTTATTCCATCTTGTTTCCTTGCCAGTTATTTTTTTTTAAGCTGATATGAAGACCTTGCATATATTTCTCACAGCATAAATATTTCTATGCATTTCCTCCCCATGTATATTTTTATATATATTTTCTAAGTATAATTTGTTGGTATATATTTTCCCTTGTATGCATCTTTCTGCATACTTTCCACCAATATACACAAATCAATGAACATATCTTTACACTATGAAATACATCTTAACATTTCAGGAACTGCAAATCTGGGTCAATATCATTGTTTTAGTTCACATAAGGAGTCAAAACTGTGAGTTAGGTGAACATGAACTAAGTGGATATCATACTATCGCTAGTTTAGTAGTTGAACTTCAATTCTTTTATAAATAGAAACATTTCTTTCTTTTCTTAATGTTTTCTTTGCAAAGTTTATTAGAGAAAAATCCCACTTTAATGGATCATTTGGAGAAGACCAAAGCCCATTAAACTTCTCAGTATTCATTAATTTGTAATTTATTTGTGTATGTATTTATTTTTATTCCACCTATTATTTTTATAAATAACTCAAGGCGCCAACATATATAATACTCCCTCCTCCTCCTATTTTCCGCACACAACTCTGTGAAGTGAGTTGGGTGATTTCTTTCACTATATAATATAACATAGCATTAACATAAAATAATATAATTAGAATGCCTCATTCAAACTATGGGCTTTAATGCAACAGGCTGGTCCATTATTTCAACAGAACATCTGGATAGACATGTGGTCTGTTACATCAGAAGTCTGCCAAATGGGCAATCTGTTAAATAGAGGCTTCGCTGTATTATATTCATTAGGGTTGGATAGTATTCTGAATTTGAAAGCAAAAAGCTGATTAAGAATACAGAATAATGGAAGAGACCTTGTAGGTCATCTTGTTCAACCCCCTGCTCAAGCAAGAGACACTATACCATTTCTGACAAGTGGCTATCCAGTCTCTTCTTGAAAGCCTTCAGTGATGAAGCACCCACAACTTCTGAAGGCAAGCTGTTCCATTGTTTGATTGTTCTCACTGTCAGAAAATTTCTCCTTATTTCTAGGTTGAATCTTTCTATCATCAGTTTCCATCCATTGCTCCTTGTCTGGCCTTCGGGTACTTTGGAAAATACATTGTTCCCCTCCTCTCTGTGACAGCCCCTCAAATATTGGAACATTGCTATCATGTCACCCCGGTCCTTCTTTTCACTAGACTAGCCATGCTCATTTCTTGCAATCGTTCTTCATGTGTTTTAGCCTCCAGGCCCCTAACATCTGTGTTGCTCTTCTCTGCACTCTTTCTAGACTCCCAACATCTTTTTTATAGTGTGGTGACCAATAGTGAACGCAGTATTCTAGGTGTGGTCTTACTAAGACTTTATAGAGTGGTATTAGTACCTCATGTGATCTTGATTCAGTCCCTCTGTTAACTGCAACTTAGGATTGCATTGGGTTTGTTAGCTGCTGCTGCACATTGCTGGCTCATATTTAATTGATTGTCCACTAGGACTCCAAGATCCCTCTCACAGTTACTGCTATTAAGTCAGGTTTCACCTAATCTGTACATATACTTTTGGTTTTTCTAGCCTAAGTGTAAGACTTTACTTTTCTCTACGTTGAATTTCCCAGTGTTCAAGTCTGTCGAGATCCATCTGGATCTTGAGCCTATCATCGAGGGCAGACATGTCAAATTCACGATGTCACGTGACATTGCAAGATGTATCAGAGCTTTTTCTCCATTGCCGGCAATGGGATGGGCGTGGTTTCCTGGTGACACATCCGGCCCATGGGCTGGCAGTTTGACACCCTTGATCTAGGGTGTTGGCTATTCCTGCCAACTTAGTATCATCTGCAAATTTGATAAGTTCTTCTTCTATTCCCTCATCTAAGTCATTTATGAATTTATTGAAAACTACTAGGCCTAAGACGGAACCTTGTGGTACTACTGGTTAGTACTCTCCATGTAGATGTAGTACCATTAAGGACTACTTGTTGAGTATGGTTTGTCAGCCAGGTACAAATCCATCTTATCAAGAAGTAGGTTGTGGTCTACTTTGTCAAATACTTTAATGAAATCTAAGTATACTAGTGCACAGCATTTAATTGGTCTAATAATTTAGTCACTTTGTCAAAGAATGAAATAAGATTGGTTTGGCGTGATCTGTCTTTAACAAACCCATGCTAACTTCTAGTTATAACTATTTGTTTCTAGATGTTCGCAGATCTGGGTTTTTTTATTATTATCTTTTCCAGTATCTTCCCAGGTATTGATGTTAGGCTGATTGGTCTGTAGTTTCCTCTTTTTTTTTTTTTCCTTTTTTGAACCACATCAGCTCTTTTCCAATCCTCAGGTAGTTCCAGGTTGCTCCAGGATTCATGAAAGATATGGGAAGAATAAAGAAGCTGCACCATCTCCCAAGAGTTGCAGTGTAGTTGCATGAAAGTATGTCTGCTGTTTATAAGAACTACAGACATGGGTTGTCCCTGCTTCTTTCTGCCTTCAAATCTGTGGTCACGTGCAGCCCTAATATTCATCAGATCTAGGCAGATGGAGAGGAAAAAGTATAGGAGCCCAGCAGCCAAAGAATACATGTAGAAGCAGAAACAACTAAACCAGCTTCTGTACTATGGACAACAGAGTTTGAGTATATTGTTTGTAATGGTAATTCAGTCCAGTATAACATCTGTCTTTCTTTTGTGTTACATAGTAGCTTTGTCATTTTCTGTCAGTAGATTTTTATGGATTTCAAATTCCCTGAACTCCGAATTTAATATTTTTAGTGCTAGTTTTTTTGGAATTTTTCTGTAAGCAGATGCTTCAGTGAAGATTTAAAATGGTAACAGAGCTGATATTTCTTTCTTCATTCGGCTATACGTATTGGGCTCTATAGAGCCACCAAATCAGGAAATACTCAAAGCAGCTTATCTGAAAAACTCAGTAATCAGACTACAGAATGTATGAAAATTAAATTTTACTATGTGGAAATACATAAAAAAATATTTCAGCCATCCCTCATCAGTCTTCACTTAGTGGAATGACAAAACATTTCAGCCAATTTGAAAAGCCAGATTTTGTCAATAAAAGGAAACATGTGTTATTCTTTTTCCATTGTAATAATTAGTGTATGAAATGTGTAATTATTACAGCTGAAAAAGGAAATTGAGGAAATTGAAAAAGAAACACTTTATATAGCAGAAGTAAAAGAGTTAATATAAATCATATGAGCACATTTCATGAGATAAATTGCATTCTTTGCAAGAATGAGCAGGCTTTAGGATTTGGGGATCTATATTGTTTTTATTTGAAAATCAGGTTCTTTGAACAAGAGTCAAGTTTGGAAAGCATGTACTTTGAAATTAGTCTGTTGCTCTCATCCTGAATGCATATACACATACAATGCTGAAATGGAAATATAATTGGAATTAAAAAATTACAAACAAATCAAGATAGCACCAAATGATTTCATGCTTTTTTTTAACAATGGCTAAGTGCAATTTAAAAAATTAATTTGTACTGTAGTCTTTTAAGAAGTTGGAAAATGTGTAACTAGTTATATCATATTCGGATAAAAATAATTTACTTCCTAGAATATTTGGTTTTGCTTTACTTTGTGAGAAGTTTGTGAGATATATTTAAAGAAATTTTTTTTTCTTCCCACTTCCTTTGAAACAGAAATATTTTTTAAAAAATCTTATTTTTATTTTGTGTATTATCTATCATTTTTTAGGATGAAATTTTGACTGTCATCCGAAGAGTAGATGATAATTGGGCGGAAGGAATGCTGGGTGATAAAATTGGAATATTCCCTATTCTGTATGTGGAGGTAAACTCAGATTACTTTTGTACTTCTTTGTTGAGAGAAAAAGCTTGATTTTTATCATTTGATTTTTTTACAGTGAAATCGATATAATTCTTTTGATGGTGAACACAAAGTGCAGGATTTTTCTGTTGCCTTGAGATGAACACACAGAGACAAATAGCACTGTCACCACAAATGCACTTTTAAAAACTGTCAGAAACTTTTCTGTGAAAAATATACAGCCCAATTTAGTTGATCATTTTGAGAAATACAAGTCAACAAAGACAAAAGTTCAGTTTGAAATTTTACCTTCAGTTACTATAGAATTGAATTCACACTTGCTTGAAAATGTACTTTTTTTCTCTGCTGTTTTCCATTTCTATGAATGTCTAGTATACTGAATTCTTCCCCTTTAATCCAGGCAGTTGCTGCTTTTTGAAGGCACAAGTTGCTAACCAAGCTAATCCTCTAATGGAATGATTTATTAAAAATGAGCTTCTCCAGGAAAATTCTTGTTCATAGCAGCCTTTGCATATAAATCAAAGCTACAAATGTAATATATGACTTGTTGCACCTGATAGTTCTGCAGCTTGTGGAACCCCTAATTCACATTGCAGGGTCTCGACTTTCACTGGTATCTTATGCCAATATGGATCATAAAATTTAGCCAAACTGCATGCATAATTCCCACTCCACTTTATTTCTACACTGCATAAGAAAACTTGTATGTAACAATGAAATGTGACAGATAAAATGGATAGTTTGTCACAAGTTAATTATGTCCCAGTTTCTGACATCAATAGTAAGGGTTTCTTAATGAATGTACTACCTATGTTTGGGTTTATTATACTGAAACAACAATTTTGTTGATTGCGAATCACAACATATGTAGATGTTGGAGTGGAGTGGGGAGATCAAATCAGGATTCATTTATGTTATATAAGGTAATTTAAGGCCAATCCCTCTAACTCATAGGATTATTATAAGGATAAAATGAGTGGAAAACCTACATGCACAGCCTTCATCTCATAACATGACAGTTAAATGTAATAATATGTAAATAAATCTCTCAAAATAAGTCCTTCCCACTGTTGTAATCCATCCTTCAGAAATAAGTCACCACTCTCTTTGAAAGACCTGAAGGAAAATTAAAAAAATAAAACAGCTGTCTGCATATTCACAACAGCAGTACAGTATTCAATATTATGCAAAGTACCTTGGATATAAATTCTTCAGTGACAACAGCTATAATTTTTTAAATTATGTTTTAGCAACTGTTATTGAAACATTGACTGCTTATGATGGTGTAATGGCTGATGATATTCTATACCCATAATGTTAGATGCAGGCAGTTTATTTGATTAAATGATACACAGTGGGAATTCTCTTGGCTGTTGTGCTCCTGTTAATCAATGCACTAGGACTAAACTAATTATTCTAAAGAAATAGTCAGGGGATTGTTCAGTCAAAAATATTCTGAGAATTAAGGTGTGAAGTCAACTATTCATTCTAACTTGTTATGGCTCTCTATAATGTCATTATGAAAGGAGGAACTTCACAAACATTTTAAGATTATAGTTCCTAGTTCACATTTTGCTTCTTTTAAGATCTGGGGAAGAAACTGAAATTTTCAAGGATCATCTTCAGTAAGATCCTACCATTTCCCATAGTGCACCTTCCGTACCATCAAAGATGCTTGGAAAGAGGCATAAAATATAACATTCTGGGAAATGAAAGAGAAATGTAACATATACACATTATTTTCTTACAAGGCCATATTCTCTTGAAAAGTTTTCATTAAAACTTGTATTGCTTAAAAAAACGCTTATACATTCTGGGACTGCTGTTATAAAATAACTTGTAGAGGGGCAGGGGGGAGTCACCATGCAATATTGAAATTCAACATAAGGCAAGCACAAGGAATAAAGTCAGACTAGAGTCTTGGACTTTAAGAGACTTGATTTTAAGAAACCTAGAGAGAGGATTCCTATTATCCAGGAGTAGAAATATTTAATGTCTGAATTTTTTTTCAATTTTACCTAACCTTCAGCTCTTTTCATTGAAACACAAACAATGCCCAGTGTTTACTTAGGCATTCTCTCATTGGCAGTGTAGCTCATAAATGTCACAATCTGCTTTTGAATAACTTCTCCAAGCTGTACAATGGTCACAGCCACAAAATAGAAATCCATTAGTAAAGGAAAATGTTTTTGAGCCATGTACAAGGCAATATGACTGGGTCCAACATGCAGATTTGCAAAGAAGTGTCTATCAACTTGGGTGCATTGGATTTATAACACACATGCCATGTACAAAATATTCTGATAAGGCTTAGTTGTTCTACTCATATTCACAATATTCAATGCTGAACACTAATTATTGTTCAAAAATGGAGTAATATCAATAGGGTAATGTGAAATTTATACTAAAGGGTAGAATTAGGAAAATATTTTATTTGTTGTTTTTTACCAGCATTTTTTTTAAAAAAAGATTATTTACAGTGATAAATAGTACATTGGGACTGCCAACAAAGCTTAGTATTCACACAGAAGATTCATCTAAATTAAGCCTATAAATCCAAAAATGAGATCACTGGACTATATTATAAACACTTTGAAATAGCTGGATTATACTAGCTGTGAGTAAATCACATCTCAGCAATGTCAAGATATGTTTTGTTGTGGTAGTTTAAGGTGAAGGAATTTAATAGTCTGCTCAAGTATTTTATGTCTTCCCTAAATGTCTACAGCCTGTCATATATAGAATTAAAGGAATATTATTCAATAGTATATATTCATAGAAAATAGTATTGTTGAGGGATATTCGCCACAAAAAAATTCCAGGTTTCTACTTAGGTAAAGTATTAACTGTAACATTTCCTGTTCAAATATTATATTTGCTCTAGGGAAGGGGAAAAAAATCCCTTGTTCACTTTTCAGGGGATTAATGCTTACTGTTGCTATATGCATTATGTATTTTCTTTTACAAACTCATAGATGCTATCCTGTCTTAAACACAGACTGCTTTGATATACATTCTTTTTTTTGAATTTTTTTTTATTAAAACTTTTTAAAATTTTACAATAAAAGCCCCTTCCCCAATTCCTCCCAACCCACCCCAAAACCCTCCCCCATTCTTCCCAGAGCTGAGTACAGGCTTAACTAGAACTTAAAAGAAAAAAAGTTTTAAACCCAAATAAAACTTAAGCAAATATAATTACACTCAATAAACAAGTTGTAAAATACTTTAACTCCATTATATATAAAAAACAAAAAGAAGAAAAAAAAGAGAAGATAAAAAAATAAAAAAATTAAAAAATAAAAAAATAATAATAATTACACTTCTAGATAATATCTTAAACTTTAAATATAAATTATTCAAAAGCTAAATAATATTTTCTTATATCATACTTATATTGTATAAAATTTATCCATCTTTTCCACACCAAGAGATACTTCTCTTGCGATTGATCTTTCAAGAAAGCCGAAATTTTTGCCATTTAAAAAACCATTCTTGCAAAGTAGGCAAAGATTCCTTCTTCCAATATTGCCCTATTAACAACCTAGCCGCAGTAATTAAATTTAACATTAAAATAATCTCTTTGTCATCACAATCCGAAACAATACCCAATAAGAACAATTGTGGAGTAAATTTTATCCTTCTTTTAAAAATTCTTTGAATATTCCACCATATCTTAATCCAAAAAGCTTTTATACTTTTACATGACCACCAGATATGATAATAAGTAGCATCCAAGCTTTTGTAAGATTTTAAGAAACTTTAATTAAGCCTATATTCAGCTCTGGGAAGGTTGAGGGAGGGAGTGGGAGGGTTGGGGTGGGTCGGCTAGGGTTGTTTCTTTTTTGTAAAAATTTTAAAAAATTTTCAATTAAAAAAAAAATAAGTAGCATCCAAGCATTTTTGAATTTATTTATAAACAACCTTCCTAGTAAATAACAGAGAGCTATATATAAAGATCATAGTAAATATATATTGTTCTATGTTGAAGAAAATAATGGTTATGTCAGAATTTCTACAAATATAAGAATGTAAAAATTAAAAAGTATATGTAAGAGTATTGAACATAGCATCAAAATACTCAAGTAAATATAAAAATAAAAATATTAGGTAAGTATAAAAATGGATAATTCTCTTTTTGAGATAAATAATCTTTTTTCAGCTCTTAAAAGAGAAGTAAATCTCACCTAGTTGGTGAACTAGCAAAGAATTTGTGTTTTTATACACTATCACAATTTAACAGGAAATTAATATATTAAAGCCAATTAATTGTACTTATTCTTTTCCTGAAATAAGGTCTGTAAGCATTACACTATATACTCTTGATCAGTGGTGAGATTCAGCCAGTTTGCACCGGTTCGGTAGAACTGGTAGCTAATTTCTTTTGAATTCAGAGAATCGGTTGATGTGTGGCAGAAACGTCCCCCCTTCCTGCCCCTGATCGGACCCATGTGACACCTTCTTTCTACCTTTGACACGGTCTCCTGTCACTTCCTCCGCCACCATGGGCAGTCTCACAAACAAAAGAAGTTTGTGGGACTAAAAAAAAAAAGTTCAATCAATCAATTCAGTTGTCAAGCCTCCCAATTTTGATCACATGATCATGGGGATGTTGCAACAGTCATAAATGTGGAAAATGGTCACAGGTCTTTTTTTTTAGAGCAGCTGTAACTTTGACTGGTCACTAAATGAACTGTTGTAAGTCGAGGACTATCTGTAACAACTGAAATAACTTAAATAACTATGATGAAAAAAACTATAATTAAACAAGCAGTAACAATAGATGCATCACTGCATTCTAGAATAATGCATAATACATAAAGAATAATGGATAGATAATCCTCAATCTACAACAATTCATTTAGTGACCATTCAGAGTTACAGTGGCACTGAAAAAAGTGATTTATGATCATTTTTCACACTTAACGATCTTTGTAGCATCCCCATGGTCATGTGATCAAAATTCAAATGCTTGGCAACTGGTTCATACATATGACCGTTGCTGTGACCCAAGGTCACATGATCAACTTTTGCAACCTTCTGACAAGCAAATTCAACAGGAAAGCCAGATTCATTTCACAACTGTGTTACTAACTTATCAACTGCAATGATTCACTTAACAACTGTGGTAAGAAAAGTCATAAAATAGGGTAAAACTCACTAAATGTCTCGCTTAACAATAGAAATTTTGAGCTCAATTGTTGTCATCAGTCGAGGACTACATGCATTGCAATAGTCTACCTGGAAATGATTAAGATATGAATAACCATGAACAAAGCTTCCCAATCCAGGAACATGCAAATTTTCATACAAAATGGATTTGTGCAAAGGCTTTCCTGGACACAGTTGTCATCTGTTCCTTAAAACATAAACTGTAAGGACCACCAAATTTTGAACCGACATGATTTGGGGAAAAGGATATTTCACTGGATCTGCAACTGAAATTGGCTTTTAAAGTTGTGGCTTTAAAATTAAAAGGAAAATACTAATAATCTAAGAGAATGACCCAGATAATTTTTTCTTACTATATTTACAAAAGAGGGAGGGAGGAAGAAAGGAAGAAAAGAAGGAAGTCTTCTTTTTTATATATCTTTGTATATTTAGGACTTGCATGAAATAATGTCTCATTACAGTGATGTAATTGTAAATTTTGCACTGCAATAGAGTTACCGCTCTGTAATGCACCCTTCTCTTTCTCACTGTATGGCATTACTGTCTACATGATAGGACTGCTCTAAATCAGTAAATAATCACTTCAGCGTCTCAAAAGAAGACTAATTCATCAGTGGGATTTTAGATCATTGAACAAACTGCATGGGAGGAATTGTCTTCTGTTATAACGAAACATCTATGTAACAGAATATTTTTATTTTATTTTTAATTCAATAGCATAGCCACTGTTTATTGTGTTTTGTACTCTGCTTCTAAAAGAGAGAATTTTGTTAGTCTCATATACATTTAATTAACAGTAAGTTCTAGCTGAACTTAAGTGAACTGAAAAAAACATTACATTGATATGTGTAAGTTAAAGTACTAGCAACATTTCATTCTTATTCTGATTGGCTTCTATTCTTTATACTCTCATTTGATGATGGACTTTGAATTCTATAGATACTCAAAGATAACACCTTTGTAATACCTCTTTTTTATTTCTTCTTTTAGCTCAATGAATCAGCTAAGCAGCTTATTGAGATGGACAAGACCAATGTAGCTGCTGCATCTGGCAGTGATGTCCCTTTGCCAGTTGACACTAACCTGGCAGTAAGCACAGTCCAGTGCTGTACACTGAACAGTGCTGGAGCAGTCAGTGCCATTCAACGACATATTGATGGCAAGAAGAATGCCAAGAAGCGCCACTCCTTCACTGCTCTCAGTATGACTCACAAGTCGTCCCAGGCCTTGAATAATAGGCATTCCATGGAGATTAGTGCTCCTGTCCTGATAAGTTCAAGTGACCCCCGTGCTGCAGCCAGAATTGGAGATGTGGCTCATCTCTCCACCAGTGCACCAGTCCAGGTAAACTCTTAATGAACCACAATATTCAGTCAACAATGGGAGAGACCAGATAGAACTGACTTCTTTATGTGCTTTGGCTATTAAATTACAGTAGAGGAATTGGGTGGCAGAAGTCCCCGTAGTACCATCCTAATAAAATCTTGTGTCTGGACAAGATTTTAATTACATTCTTAGTTCTTCTTCTTCTTCTTCTTCTTCTTCTTCTTCTTCTTCTTCTTCTTCTTCTTCTTCTTCTTCTTCTTCTTCTTCTTCTTCTTCTTCTTCTTCTTCTTCTTCTTCTTCTTCTTCTTCTTCTTCTTCTTCTTTCTCCTCCTCCTCCTCCTTCTCCTCCTCCTTTTCCTCTTCTCATTCTTCTCATTCTCATTCTGTCATTTTTTTTAAAAAAAGAAGTGAAAATATAAATTCGTTAGGAACAGAAGACAGAGGACTGACCTTGGGCTAGTTACTTCTTCTGAAGCCCAATTAGTTTCAGTCTTTGCAATAAGCCAGTTGTTTAACAAAGTTTCGTGGTAAAGAACAAGGCAAGTGCAGTTCTAAGAAAAAAACTTTTTAAATAAATATTTTCAGACCTTTTCATATATATTATATATGTGCAGATTTGGAAGCAAAAAGATGATTTGGAGCCTGAGGGGCCATAAACAGCATATTTCTAGAACTCCTTAAATCAAATATAAGATTTCCCAGGATTGTGCAGCAGCTGCAGAGGATAATCATGGAATTAGGGGAAAAGATGCAGCATTTGTAGGCATTATAGTTCAAAACATCTGGAACACATAGATGCCTACAGTACTTCGGATTTGTATGAAAACAAAATTAAGACATTAATCAAATAATAATAATCTTATTATAATGGTAGTTACTGCTACTGCTATTGGTACTAGTACTTTTTAAAACTGATATAAATGACATAAAACTTCTCTCTCTCTCTCTCTCTCTCTCTCTCTCTCTCTCTCTCTCTCTCTCTCTCTCTGTCTCTCTCTCCCTCTCTCCCTTATTGACCTACTCCCTCTTATTGGTGGCCACACCCACTTGGGGGTCACCACAACATGGGGAACTGTATTATGGGGTCACGGCATTAGAAAGGTTGAGAACCACTGCCTTAGGTAATAAGGTGTATTAGTGAATCAGGCTTGTGTTTTTGTCACTGCACCAGGATTTGGAAGAAATTTATAGATTTTGGTTTGTTGCAATCCAGGGAACTGTGATATTAAGGGATGGTTACAGTGAGATTTTTTTAAATACAATTGTTTACCCAGACATTCTACTTACCAAACAGTAAAATATTAAGTCTCGACACACTGATTACATAGTGGGAATAGGATTTATAGCTATTTTTAAAAAGCCACAGCCTTACAAAATGGCTGCTCCTGGTTCTTTATAAAACAATATTAATCTTTCTCCATATGGTTGTATCTTGGAATATATATGATTGCATAAAGAAAATATGCACCCTTTATTTTTTGTAAACTTGATTTTGTTCCCTTAGGAAGATTTCATTTTATTACCCCACTTCTTAGAGCAGCTTTCCGTACCACAATTTGCATTTTAAACCTAGGGGAGCCATAAAAGCATTTTGCAAAACAACACATAAAAGCTGCTATTGTCTGTGCATCGTTGTATGTATGGGATGGCAATTTAAAGCCAATTTTGGTTCATGCAAACCTTTTTGCTTGGCTAAAAGGACTCTCTGTATCACAGTCTCAACCCCTCTTATATGAAAGGAGCAATATAGCCAGTCCATTTTGGACAGCACATGCAATTATTACTGAATTGTAAAGCTTGTAGTCTTGCATATATTGTTGGAAAACAGAAGTGTGTAAATAATGGCCATGGAAAAAACACTAGGCAGAGTCGATTTTTTAAAAGATTTTTTTTATTCTGATGTATAGATTAGTAAAAACAGTAACTTTCACTGCATGCTTCTAAATTTTCATTAAAGTTTTAAAAAGCTTTCTTACTTAATGCATATTGTCTATATAACACTAGCTAGGAGGTAAATGCCCAATAACCTTTTTTACCTATGTTACAAATATCATGGGCCTATCTATGCCTCTTTGCCCAGAAATAAGTCCTACATAATTCATTGGGACTTAACACAGGCAAGTATTTGTACTATTACTTTAATACAAGGGACTTAACACAGGCATATGTATGTACTATTACTTTAGTACTTTTTAAAGCTGAAATGAATGACATAAAACCTTTCATATATATATGTATATATATTTAAACTGGGTATAACCAAAGATGAAGAATTCTGGGAATTATCATATATATATCTGGGAATTATCATATATATATATATATATATATATATATATATATATATATATATATATATATATATATATATGTTTTCTGAGGTTTTCGCGGGTGTTTGTATGTAGGTCTTTGGTTGTTCAGGTTTTCTCCCGCGTAAAATTGGAAGTGTCTTGGCGACGTTTCGACGAAGTCCCATTCGTCATCTTCAGGCTGGTGCTTTCAGCTTCGTGCTTCGAGCAGCAATGTGTGGTCTTAGCTGTTTCTTCCTTTTAACTGCCAGTTGGGGTATGAACTGATTGGGTGGGAGCTTGGCTGTGTTCTGATTGGGTGGAGGTGTGTTCTGATTGGTTAGGGGCGTGGCTGTGCTCTGATTGGCTGGGGGGGTGGCTGTGCTCTGATTGGCTGGGGGGTTGGCTGTGCTCTGATTGGCTGGGGGAGTGTTCTGTTTGGTTGTGCTCAGGTTAGTCTGAGTTGCAGAGGGGTTTAAGATTTTGGGCTGCCTTGCTATTTTTTGGCTTCGCGTTTGTGGTCGTGCCTCATTTTCATGGAGGGTGTCAGTTTGCTTCATGTACGGATTGGAGGGCTTTAAAGTGGCTAATGATGCAGCTCTGGTCTGGCTTCTGGTTTGTGGTCGTGCCTCATCATCGGTGTGGCTTTGGGTTTGCTTTTTGCGTGGATGTGTGGTGGTGACATCCTGTGTGTTTTTTGTGAGTGTGGGTCTGGTATCATTATCAATCTAATCCCCACATGTTTCCAACTGAAATTCCACTCCAACTCTGCAGCCACCAAACGGATCCTGAAAAGAACAGAATTGGCCCTAATCAGAAATGAACTTCACACAAAAAGATTCCGCCTAGACCGAATTAACAAAGATCTCCTCACACTCCACCTCAAACTCAGCAACAAGATCCACCCCGCACTTTGGGACAAATCCAAACAACTCGCCATCTGGAGAGCCGAAACACAGACCACCCTCAAGACAGATACACACACCAACAAACTCCGAAGACTACAAGAATGCCAGAAACAAACCCCTCCTCCCTCACAGCCACACATGAAACAAACAGTGCCTAACATCTCAGATAGGATCCTCACCAAAGCCGAAACCAATGTCCTTTCCAAAGGATTCAACTTTGCAGTCACTCCCAAACACATCCCCACTGAAACCATTATATGTGGAGTTGAAACCAGCCTGACCAAAATCAACCCCGACGACGCTAACAGAATCAGACTCGAAATCACCAACATCCTCTGCACCAGCAAGCCACCCAAAAGCAACTTACCCAAAGAGGAACAGACAGCACTACGTAACCTGAAAGAAGACACCAGCATAATAATCCTACCAGCAGACAAGGGCAACGCCACGGTGGTTATGAACACATCTGACTACCAAACCAAATTAACCAACCTACTCCAAGACTCCACATACAAACCCCTAAATACAGATCCCACCACCTACCTGGAAAAAACCACCAGATCCAAAATAAAAGCCTCCCCCATTAGCGAAGAGATCCAGCAAAGAATCATTCCCAGAGAGAAATCATCCAGATGCCCCAAACTCTATGGTCTCCCCAAGATACACAAAGAAGGAACCCCACTCAGACCTATAGTCAGCTCCATAGGCTCACCTCTACAAAACCTAGCCAAATTTCTCGCCAAACAACTACAGTCCTATGCAGAATCCATTACCTCACACGTAAAAAACTCATTCCAGTTTATAGAGATCATAAAGAAACAAAACTTACAGCCCAGCGACCTACTAGTGAGCTTCGATGTCATATCCCTCTTCACACAAGTGCCTATCAAAGAAGCCTTGACAGCTATCCAAAACAAATATAACCCCCCAAAACACATCTTAGATCTGACCAACCACTGCCTATCCAACACATACATTCATCTATAATGGACAAAAATACAAACAAACAGAAGGAGCACCCATGGGATCACCCCTCTCACCTGTCATTGCCAACCTCTACATGGAACACTTTGAAACCCAAGCTCTATAAAAATCGGATCACAAACCCAAACTCTGGCTCAGATACGTAGACGACACCTTCATAATCTGGCCACATGGGAAAGAAAAAAAAACTGGACAACTTCCTCACACACCTCAACAGCCTACACCCCAAAATACAGTTCACCATGGAAACAGAAGCTAACAACCAACTTCCCTTCCTGGATGTCTTAGTCTACAAGAAATCCAATGGCTCCCTAGGACACACCATCTACCAGAAGAAAACACACACCAACCGCTATCTGCACGCTCTCTCACACCACCACCCAGCACAGATCAACTCTGTAGCCAAGACACTCATCTCCAGAACAAAACGCTTAGCTGACGAACAACACCTAAAAACTGAACTACACACTCTCACCAATGTACTAACATCCAATTGATTCCAAAGAAATAAGATTACAAACCTAATCCAAAAAGAAACCCCCACTAAAATCCAAGACGAAGAACAAGAAAACGGCAAAGCCCTCCTCCCATACATAAAAGGCACCACAGACAGAATCAGTAAGATCCTCCATAAACACAACATCAAAACAGCATTCGGCACAAACAGAAAAATATCCACCATCCTTAGAAACCCCAAAGATAAAATTGAATTAGAAAATCAAGGAGTATACGACATCCCATGCACCACTTGTCCCACCACATACCTCGGACAAAACCAACAGAAAGAATAAGTGCACGCATTGAAGTTGAAGAACATAAGAACTCAGTCAAAAAAGAGGAACCAACATCTCCCTGGTCCAACACCTTAAAGCCACAGGACACGAATTTGACTTTAAAAATACCAGAACCATTGCAAAAAGTGAACATTTTAATAACAGAATAATCAGAGAAGCC